GGATCCTCTGGAGTGAGAAATCAATTTCATGGGGGCTCTACAGCTAGCACACTTAGGCCTTGCTCGAACACCATGCAGCAGGCTCCCTGGCTCTGTAGAGCACCCAGAATCTGAATAGCTGAACATGGGCACAGGTGAGTGTGATACGTTGTGTTCAAGCAATTAAGACTCTTGCACATGGGCACCTGCCATACCCATACACCCAGGGCCGGATTTACTCTTTCTGCTGCCCCAAGGCCAGGTTCCTCAATGCGCTCCCCTACTCGCCAACCCACGAAGATTGGCAGACCTGCAGGCTGCATACAAGTGATCTCGGCGACATCGTTGGGATCACTTGTACAAAACAAGTGGCAGCTTCCCCGCTGTACGTTTAGCTCTGCTTGCCCAAAGCCGGGCTAAATGTAGAAAACAACTACCCGCCCGGCGCCCGGAACTGCACGTCCAAGGCATCGGGATATAGGAATTCCTCCACTCCCTGCTGCCCCTCCACTCCCTGCTGCCCCAAGGACGGGCCTTGGTTGGCCTTGTGGGAAATCCGGCCCTTCATACACCATCACTGGCATATTCCTGCTTCCAAGGGGTTCCAAGTGCAGTGCAAAGCCTCAAATAAAAGTCAGCGGTTCTACCCTGATGTTGGCAGGTATATGGCAGAACTATGTAAACCTGCACATGACCATGGACTAAAAACCTCAAACGCACACAGATTGCATCTGACGTTTTACATTTGTGCACATGCATGGATTTACATGGTGCCAGCATACACCCACCAACAACAGCATACAGCTATTGCCTTTTATGTGAGGCTTTACTCTGTACCCGGAGCTCTATTGTGGTGGGGATACAACAACATTTACGTTTATGGGGGTGGGCACCCTTGTGCAAGAGCCATTATAGTTTTCATGTATCTCTGGTGGATAATACACAACATTTGTAGGCTTCATGACACACCAGAGTACAGGATAATACATTCCTACAGGCTGTATGTGAGTAATTACAGCATACCATCCAGAGCCACTCCATACACTGCTCATTGTATATTGCTGATGTATCCCAGTGCTAAGCTCCTCCCCCCAACTTCTATCACATTCCTCCTTCTCAGCATTGCCTTTAGACATTCAATTTTTGGCAAAGCAATCAAAGTCCTACAATGGTGGCTTGTTGACAGCAAGAAGATGGAATTGTCAAGAAAGATTTATTCGCCTTTGAAGACATTGCCATTGCTTTCTCGACTTTGGATCTTTCAATGCATTGTATTGGAGATGTCAATTTATTGCTCAATCTAAACTTCACAATTTACCAAATCCTGGTGGCAGATGGAACTCGTGGCTATAAATTGCTTAGTTTCTGGGGATTTCTTAATAAAATGAATCTGCAGTTTCTGATGGATGGATAGTGGTTGAAATTGAGTAAAAATTGCTACAAGAATGGCCAGTTTAAGGGTCTTCTCC